CCCCCCCTTGCAAAGGAAGAGATCTGCACGTCGTCGAGATCTGAGCTGAACGTCCAGAGTCTGAAGTAGCGGTGCCAGTTTGAAGCTGATCTTCCATGCGAATGTGATCTTCAACTGCCAAGGCCGCTGCCGCTGATCCGCTGGAGTGAGTGAGCTGGGCAGCCGAATCACGACGGACGGCAAATGAAGATCTGGCCACTGCTGAGTGGTTTCGTGTACATAAGCGGGTCTTTCGTCTTGGCTCAGCGTACCAACTACGAGGAGGGCATCCAGGCGTCCCCTGAAGATGACAATGGTGGATGGGATTACTATCGCCCTGACGGCCTCGGCAACAGCAGGGACAGCGGTGCCGCCAGACGGCCTTATCGAAGGCACGGCAACTCGCACTCGTATGATGATCTGCCAGGCCAAGTGCAGCCCGACCTGCCATCCGCCGCTGAAGTATCACGCCGGGTGAGTACGGCATAGCACCGCCGTCACTCGTTGATCCCGTCTGTGGATGCTGTGTGTTGGTGTGTGTGTGCGTCAGATCTTTGCGTTCTCGCCGCACCACCCGCACCCGTCAGTGTCGGTGCTTTACACGGGGTGGGGACAGATGATCATGCACGACATCGTGGCCACACAGGAGGGCACCGAGCCAATGCCCATCCCCCTGCCCACTCAGTGGCAATGCAACGTCCCGCCCTTGCCTATCGTCGCTGGGACCTTCTCATGCCCATCGCCAGAGGCCGAGACCCCCGAGTCCATCCCATTCAACCGCAGCCACTACGAGGTCGGCGACGACAATGTGCGTGTCCCCGTGAACACACGGACGGCGTGGCTCGATGGGTCGTCCCTGTACGGCGTGGAGAGGGAGGCAGTTATGGCGCTGCGAGAGGGAAGGGGAGGCCGGCTCAAGATGGACGACGAGGGCTTCCCACCAAGAGTGCCGGGAGGGGACAAAGGCTGCGAATTGTTCGCCTTTGCGCAAGGGGCCGTCAACCTGCACCCTGTTCTCACTTCTATCGGCATAGGTGAGAGGGGGAAGACGCTCGATGAACGCGGTGAACGAGACTCATTGAGTATATGCACATGTGTGTTTTTCTGTCGTCAGTGATGGTGCGGGAGCACAACAGATATGCCAAACTGCTCGAGAGTCGCCACCCCGACTGGGACGACGAGGCGATCTTCCGCGAGGCCAAGGCGTGGGTCGTTGCCCTCATCCAAAAGATCACCTTCTACTGGGTCAGCCAGCAAGGCCAGCGCGCCCACCGATGTTGGAAGGAATCGATGTCCATGTGTGTTGGTCCCTGCCTGCCTGTACGCAGTACCTGCCGATCCTGCTGGGGTCACCGCTGCCCTCCTGGCAGGCGCACAACGCCACCATTGACCCGCAGGTTGACGTCTTCAACGCGGCAACGGCCTTCAGATACGGCCACTTCGCCATCTCTGACACGGTCTTCCTTCTCTCTGCCCACTTCACCACCCACCCACTCGGCCACCAGCCCCTCCTTGCGACAATCAGACGGCCGTGCGCCATCAGGGAGGCCGGCGTGGAGCCGGTTCTGCGTGGCGCAATGGTTCAGCCGGAGGAGAAAATGGAGGCTGTCATGGGCCAGTCTGTCCGTCTGGCCTCACCGGCTGATCTGCCCGCTCTCAACATACAAAGAAACCGCGACTGGGGAGGTATGCAAGCCGAGGGACAGTCGACGGGTGACGCTATTTGACTGACATATTGCCGGTTTCTGTGTCTTTCCTCTGCCCACGAACCAACCAGTCGCGCTTTACAATGACATGCGTGAGGCGTACGGGCTGCATCGCGTGAGCAGCTTGGAGGAGCTGGTGGGCAGAGACAGGAGTGACCTGCTGGAAGCCTTGGAGGACATGTACGACGGCATTGATGCCGTGGAGGCGTATGTGGGGGCCATGCTGGGTAGGTTCCACATGCACCAACACATTCACTGCGACGTAGTTCCTTTCTAGATCTCTTTGTCTTCTGCCGCCTGTGGGTCACTCCCCTTCAGAGCCTCTCGAGCTGGCCAAGTCGTCAGGCTATGACGCCACCACGCCTGTCGTGCCGCCCCTCATCGCCGTGTCCATCCGTGACGCCTTCACACGCCTCCGCTCATCGGACCGATTCTGGCATGAGCAGTACCTCCCCTACCTTCGAGACAGCATCCCCTATGAGACTGCCAAGAAGGAGCTGCCCTGGTTCCCCTTCAGAGATGTCGAGCTCGCCCGCGACCTGGCCACCTACGGGCTCACGGAGCTGCTGCTCAACAACACTCGGCTGTGCTGGGCCCCGCCGAATCCCTTCCGCATCGAGAGCTTCGCCAACGCCCGGGAGGGTCTGCAGAAGACCATGAAGATGGACACCACGCTTCCCAAGTGGACGCAGTGTGACGAGGGCGCGATGCCCGAGCCGTTCACGTCGACCAGGCGGCAGTCGCTGACATTCCTGTCGGGACAGTACCAGCTCGAGTGGGAGGTGAGGCCACCCAACATGGGCGATGGCAGCGCGCCAAATAGGATGGACATCACCATCAGTGGCCGGACCAGCGGCTGGGTTGGCTTGGGCGTCTCGCCCGACGGCCGGATGATCGGCGCCGACCTGCTCATCGGGTGGATCGATGCCGACACGGCCGCACCCGTCCTCCATCGCTACACAGGCGGTCCCGATCGCTACCCTGTGGCCGTACGAGAGGAGATGGACATCGACACCCAGACAGTCAGCGGGAGGGAGATGGTGGTGAACGGCGAGAGCTGGACGACACTCTCCTTCAGCCGCCCGCTCCGCTGGCCGTCGGGCGATGGCAAGGCCATCAAACTGGGCGAGACTACGACGATCCTCGTCGCTTTTGGGCCCGAGGGCGCGAAAGAACTGAGGGTAAGCGCAGTTTGTTACACTCACACGCATCCGCGTGTGCATCCTTCATGTGTGGGTGTGTGTGAGCAGTTCCACGGTTCTCGACGGCAGGTGGCCATGGTTGACTTCGCCAGCGGCCGCAGCACCGTCATGGAGTCGAGCAAATCGGTAAGTGGATGGGCGAGTGGGAAGCCGCGGCGACCATTCCCCCTTCCCCCACGCCCCTCTGTCTGTCTGTGTCTGCACGCGTGTGCAGGTGCTCTACGTGCATGGGTTGATTATGTGGTTCCTGGCGAGTATCCTCATTCCCGGCTCCTTCTGCTCGGTCCGCTACTTCAAGCACCGAGAGGGGTGGCTCAATATGCACGAACGGCTGGCGCTGATGTCCATGTCCAATATGATCGGCATGGCGTTCTCAGCGCTGGGTACGCAGCACAGTAGCTAATCCCACAGACAGACACACAGACATCCTCCATGTACCTCACGTGTGCACCGCGCCCTTCACGCAGCGTCGACCAACGCCATTCTCGCGACGCCGCATTCCATCCTCGGGCTGCTGCTCGTCGGCTGCATCGCGCTGCAAACCATCCTCGGTAAGTCAGCTAAGAGAGACGCCCATATGGGATTCAGAGCGTTTTGACTGTGCCTTCCCCTTGGTTGCCTACAGGCATAAGCAACAAATACTGGCACTACAGCGCGTCGAAGCGCATTCTGCCGAGGCATGCCCGAGTGGTGCTGCGGTTCCTTCATGCCCTGTTGGGCACGACCATCCTGCTGGCATCGCTGGCCAACTCGGTCTTCGGCGCCAAAGCTCTGTTTCCCAACCACCCGGTAAGCCTGTCACCGTAAGTAAGAAGCAACAGGCAAGAAGCAACAGGCAGCTCACGTGGTCACTGCTGGTGTCTTCTTCTTTCAGATCTGGGTCGTTCAGCTGCTGATTGTTCTGGCCATCACGTGCATGATCGGTCTGCTCGAGTTCCGACGGAGACTCCCGACGCACTTCTTTGCCTTCGTTGACAGTCTGCCCCCCTACCTCCGCGTCGGTGTCCTCTCCCCCGTCGAAGCACAGCCACTCGTCCAGCAGCCCACAAAGCAGCCCAAGTGGCATCCACTTCGGATTCTGCAGCGGCTCGGCGGAGGGGGGCTGAACGTGATAGGGTCAGGGGAGCAGAGCTTCACGCCCGACTGCGTCTGCGAGGCAGTCGAGAACGGCTCCCAGTGGGTAGTCGTGCTGGACGGCGTTTACGACATCCGCAATTTCGTTGGCAGCCATCCTGGGGGAACGGCACTACTGGAGCGTCACGTGGGTTGCGACATCACTGCCCTCTTCCTGGGTCTAGTAGTGCCGGGCAGCGCCACCAGTGATCTCCGGAGCACTCCCCGCGCCTCCCCCATCACTATGCCAAGACGACCCAGGTTCGCCACCATCGGCGTCACGGTCCAGGCTGCCACCTCAGCAGAGAATGCACCGGTCGCCTCGCCGAGCGCACCGCCACATGACAATGGGACGGCCAACACTGGTGGTAGTGGTTGTGCTGCTGGTGGTGGGCAGCAGGTGGCGCCTTGTGCCATGGCGTCCATCATGGAGATTGGTCGGCGCTTCAGCAACAGCGGCCGCGTGATAAGGCTGGGAAGCCCCACGAGGGCGGAGTCGTTCGAGCCAACGGTGGTGGGTCGGCCACACTCCGTCTTCGCCGCCTGTACACTTAGGAAATACCGGTCGGTACCGACGGTCGGCGCACACAGCACGGCACAGCAAGGCATCTCACCTGACAAACACACCAAGAGATACATAAAAGTGTGTGTGTGTGTGTGTCTTTTGTTCTCAGGGTGGGCACTCTCTCTCTACAGGACGGCCGCGGCGAAAGAGAAGGCTCCTTCAACCCCCCTCCCTCCTACTTCCCTCAGAAGGTCATGGGCCCCAACAACGCCCAGCCCGCCCTCATGGCTTTGCTCAAGCCCCTCCTGCAGGCCTCGCCCACACCAGAGGCCATCCGCGGCCGCACCTCTACCCGAAGCGACATGCGCCAGAGGTAAGTAATCGCCACAATTTTCTGTTGTATGATTATTTACTCCTCACCCGGTACCTACCGCTATTTCTCCTGCCAGGACGCTGCTGATGTATGGGATGCTGTTCAAGCACGTCAGCAACACGCCAGTAGCAAAGGCGGTGGGTGGAGCTGGGTCAGGCTCCTCTATCACCCACTCGTCACTGGTGTCGGTGCCGAGTGAGAAGAGCAGTAGGGAGGCCACCCCGGGCAAGGGCGGCAATGTGGCGGCGGGGCTCTATCAGCCCTTTATCGTGGTCGAGAACACTCAGCTCAACGCAAGGCGCCCAGGCGAGAGGCAGCTTGCCATCCACAGGATCACACTGGAGAGTGCCACCACCCTCTCCATCGAACACTACAGGCCAGGTATACCCTACCCGGACATGCACCCATCGTGGTCTCCCTATCTTGTCTGTCTGTATGTCTGTCTATGTGTGTTGTGCGCATCTGTACATCTGTCAGGCCTGCACGTGTGCATCCTCGAGGACATCGCTGGGAGGCGTTTCAAGCGCAGCTACTCAGTCGCGGCTACACCGTCCTCCCATCTGCTGACGTTCCTCGTTAAGTCGTATCCCTCCAACGGGAGGGGCATGGCCGAATTCCTGTCGTCGCGAAGACAGGGCGACACTCTGCGGCTCAGGGGCTTCCAAGGCACGAACCTGCTCCACGACGCACCCTCTGTGCCGGGCATGAGCACGGACACAGAGGAGGATACCGACGACGATGCCATTCTGGCGTTCTCTCCCGCGCGAGACCCCCACTTCGGTGTCTACTGGCCCTTCTGTGCGGTGATCTCGGCAGGGACCGGCATGACACCCTTCCTCAACCTCATCCGACACCAGGGGCAGGTTATGGGGCGGCTGGCCAGAGACCCCACCACACGCCAAGCGGCCCTCTTATCGCAGCTGTCCGTCTTGCACGTCTCCCGGCACAGAGACGAGGCCCTTGCGCTGGGCTGGGACGAGATCCGCTCGATCAAGGCCACAGTGAACGGGGCCCTTGCTGACGCGCCGGCGCCGCGTGTGACGGCCAATGTGGTTATCTCGGGAGAGTCGCGGGGACAGAGCGCCATCGAGGCTATATTTAAGCACGCCGCCAGGCCGGGCAGGGCAGCGCAGCTGCATCGGGGTGGTCTGGACGGTGATAATGACGTGCACGAGACAGCGACGGTCGATCGGCAGCTACTGGAGGCTTGCGTGCCGTGGCTGGGGCGGCTGTCCTCACGGCCGAGCACGCCCCACACACCGCCGCTGCAGGAGCTGCCGGAAGAGAGCGTGTTGGTTGCGCAGGAGGAGAGTCCGAGGGATCCCCCGGCCATGCAGACGCGGCAGTCGCCAAAACACGACAAGTGGCTGCAGAGCACACCCGTGACCGTACTCAAGTCGCTGGTGCATCGGGCCAAGGGCGGCGCCTCCCCCACACAACCCACACAAACGGTGAGTCGGGGAGAGAGGGGGCAGTGCCAAGATGGCGATGCATGTAGGCCATCCTGTCTGTCTGTCTGTCTCTCTGTGCAGGTCAACGGTACTCCAGAGCAAAGCGCCTTCCTGTCAGCCTGGAGCATGGCGGCACCGGCACAACAGGAGCCCTCCCTCTCAGCCATTCTGGCTCGCGGCCCCTCCCCATCCACCGCCCGCATATTTATATGCGGTCCAGCCTCGTGGGTGCATTCGATGCGGCGGGTGCTCGAGAGTGAGATGCGGGTGCCGAGGGAATATGTCAAAACCCTCTGAGATGGTGGGTGGGTGAGTGGGGGAGTGTGCGTGAGTGAATGAGACCGACGTCATTCACCCCTTCATGTCGTGTCACTGTGTAGTCAGCGCTTCATTTAGCTAATATGATAGGCCATGCCAGTACGTTATGGCGGCTTGATGGTGTGTATCAGTGGTTTTTTAGTCTGCTTGTGCAGGCAGTGAAGTTTGTAGAGAGTAGAGGGAAGAGGGATAGAGAGAGAGGCGTCCAGCGTCACGCTTCTGTGCATTCATGTGGCTGTCTGTCGGTCTGTCTGTCTGTCTGTCTGTCTGGTGTGGCTCGCCAAGAGGGATCGCGTTGCGGTGCGGATGGCTGGCTGTCTGGTGCTGCATGCTTCAGACCACTACTCATGCAATCAAGGTCAACACCGTTAGTGCACAGAAACGACCCCCAGAACTGATCGAGGCAAAACCTGCATGCCCTAGCAAGCAAAAGTCCCACACTCCCTGACACACAGCAAACCACGTCCTAGGACAAGCCCCATCCTGTCTCCCAGACACACAGTACCCCAACGCAACAGAGCACACAACGCACTCGGACACCAAAAGCCACGCCAAGGTAGCCACAGCGAGAAGAGCAGCAGAGACACTACTTTTTTTAATACATGGACAGCATATCAGCCAGCTCAAAAGTAGGGCGTGTCCGCCCGCTTTGTGTTCACTGTTCACTCGTTTAGGTAGGCCATCCCTAATACTTCTCAAGACATGAACAAAGTCGAAAGACCAAAACACCATAAGCACATGACAGCAGCACCAAGCACAGCACAGCACAGCACGGCCCATCAGCCAGCTCAAAAGTAGGGCATGTCGGCCCGCTGTCCGGCATAGTACTCATCATAGCTGTGCAGCGAAGACCTCTTCTGGTTCCGATACGCCCCTGGAGCCTTGGGAGCCACCTTCAACTCCTCCTTGCGAGGGATTATCATGGGCGATGTCTCGCTCAGCTCGCTCTCCTCATCGGACATCTCGTCCTCTCCTTCTGCTGCAGGCACCTTGGGCTTGCGCTGGCCGTCGCCGCCGGCGATGTGACTGAGTGTGGGGTCGCCAATTTCAGGCATGGCGGGGAGTCTCACGCGCACCCGCTCCTCGCCCTTCCTGGCCTCCATTGGCCACGCCTCGCCCTCGGCCATGTCCTGTGAGTGGGCAAACACACATCAAATGCCGGCAGGGAAGAATGGGCCAGTAACTACCTTGTGTTGCTTACCACTTTGCGGTCGGATGTGCGTCTTCTGATGGTCTTGATGTCTGGGTGTGTGAAGGCGATGAGAGCCGGCCAGGCCATAAGTAAGAAGTCGCATATCCACGTCTTCTTGCTTATCAGCAGCACCAGCGACACCCACAAAGTGCGCGCCGCGGGGGCAGTCAGCACTCTGACCACACAAGCAAGGCCACACCACACAGGCAAGCAGATTTGTTGCTCGAGGCGGTGAGGAGGGCCGGGGGTCCGGCTGGCTCACCGGTGTGTGAGGCCGAGAATGGCCGTCTGGTTCCACTTGAGCACCAGCGTATCGTCGTACTTCTGCAAATATGCATTGGATACATCTGTTGGTCAGTCCTCTGTATCAGTCAATCCTTTGCCTTGCTTACGAGTATGAAGAGCAGGATGAAGTATATGCAGAAGGCATCCCACAGGGACACGATCGTGCCTCCAATAATCTCCTTGATGCGCCAGTAATTCAACTGCATTGCATTCAGTGCAGTGAGTCGAGTCAGTCAGGGGGAATATGGGTGAGACATGGACACAGTGAGTGAGATGTGCGTGTGCCGCTGTGTCGGTGTGGTGTTGATATGTACAATGAATGTCCTCTCTGCTGGCGTCGACAGCTCCTCGACAATCCTCTTGGCGAAACAAAACTGGTTATCACATACACAGAGAGAGACAACACGCAATAGGCCATACATGTGTGCAGTGCCCGAGCCGACCCGCAGAAAGAGGGGAATGGGGACAGCCAGCACAATGCTCCACAACGAGCTGAAGAGCACGTGCCATGACGGCACGAAGGGATTGATCAGGGGAAAACACACCTCAGCTGATTGAGAGGCGTAGACAAGTTGCGCAGATTGATGAAGGTCCTGTGTGTGTGTGTGATGCTCACGTGACGGCTGCGAGACGCACTCCGCGTTGAAGAAGAGTGCAGAGAAGAAAAGCTCTGTAACAATCGAGCTGAACTCGATGAGGTATCGCTGGGACCTGCAGCGCACAGGGACAAGCTTACCCCGGAAACAAGCCATTCACAGCCCATAGCTGACCTCGAGATCAGCGGGTTGTAGGGGAAGATCTTTGGACTGCTCAAATAGAGCCAAGCGAAATGAAAATGCCGTGCATCGTGTAATCCGCGTTGTGCTTACAATGGGTGCTCTCTGATGGCGACCGTCCATATGAGGCGACTGCTGGGCCACTCGTGATACTGCAGCCTCTTCGCGAGTACCAAATTCTGTGATTGTGTCCACAAAGGCCAGAAATCGAGAGGGCTTTAGCCAGATGCATTGCCGCGTACCTGTGTCCGCTTGTTTTGTTTGCTGACGAGTGCGCGGAGGTTGGTGGCCTCCCACGTGTAGACGATCGTCTGGTTCTGGTAATTTTCAAACCATATGAGCCCGTCATGCAGCTTGCGGCAGCATTCACGAGGGGGCGCTTCCTCTCGCTCCTTCTCAGCGCCTTTCTTCTGGACTGCTGGCGCCTTTCGATCTGCCACAACAGCCGGCACACTCGCCTCATGGAAGACATCGTCACACACAATTGACACGGGGGCCTCCTTCTCCTGTGTCTCCTCCTCCGCCACGCCATTCAGCGTGCTCTGGTGCTGCAGCGCCTCGTGCTCAGCGACTTGGATCGCTTGCTGGGCCGTCTTGTAGGACGTGGCAATGATGGAGTCGGCTGGCGGTGCTTCAATTCCGGCAGCCCCTGCGCCAACTGAGCTGACGTCGGATCGCATAGACGGAGATGCGTCCTTGCGCCGGCGGAGGGGAGTCACGAACGCGAGGTCGGCCAGGTTCGACACGAGACGAGACCGCTCGTCGGTTGCGCTGGCGGATTCGGCGCGCCTCAGTGACGCAATCCTCACAGGACCGAAGAAGCTTTCAGGACCAACTGCTTGCACCGGTCGGCCGAAGAAGTCGTCGAACCCCCCCACTTCAAGCTGGCCTTTCGTCGCATCGCCGGCCGCGCCATGCTGAATGACTGCCGGGCTCTCGATGTCAGAGAAGACCTGGGACTCGGACCAGACTTGCGACTCGCCACCCGGCAGGATCTTGAAGCGGTCTGGATCGGTCCCGAAGGGATCTTTGGGCGTCAGCGCCACCGTCCCAAGGACTGTCGTGGTGCGCGTCAGGATACCTGACTGCCGGTCGGCAGTGTCTTCGGCAAAGAGGGAGTCCACGTTGATGCCGCTGTCATCAGGCTCCATACCGAAGGCAACCGAAAGACGTTTCTTTCTGTGCTGCTTCTTGACGGACAGAGATGCGCGCGAAAGACCTTGGACGTTGCGGGCGAAGGCCTTGCTGACCATGCTATGTGGGAAGAAGAATCGAATGGACGATCCGTTCGCCAGCACCAGCTTCACTGATGGCAGGGTTGACACGTCAAGCCCGCCATCCTCGCCGCCCATTGTCTCGCCGTCCTGTACTTCCTCTTGCTTGCCCTCGACGGTCCGGATCTCGATGATGTCAGCAAGGAACACAACGTACACCTGACCAACAGTTTCATATCATACACATCACACCAACAATGTCATGCCATGAGACATGGGGTGTCTGTCGGTGAAGTACGCACAAGCCCTCACCCAGTAGAAGGCTTCCTCAGGGCTGGTGTCGCTCGAGCGCCGGAGACGGCCCAACAGGCTTTTGATCCCCCTGCTAACGCTGCTGGTGGCAACACTTGTCACTTCTTGTTGCAGCGCGTGGGTCTCCAAAGCTCGAAGACGGGATACCTGCATTGTTCAGGTACAACACATATTAGTTCATTCAGGAGAGCCTTTAAGGTCAGGTATCCATATATCCCGCACCTCTCGCGGTAGAATATTTAGGGCGAGTCCTTGATGGCTCATCCACAATGAGCACAGGCCCAGGAAGGGCGTGAAGGCGTCAAGGGCTGTTGATGGGATGGACAGTGGGCTCGTCTCGGCTTGATGCCGCAGTTCGTACGTCGCTGACGCCCACTTGCCAGCTGTGACACGCTTCGCAGCCGGGGTCGCAGACTGCTCGTCAGCACACTTCCACTGGATGTCGCGCCGGGCGAAGGTGGGCTTGCTGGCAAAGAGGGACCGGAGGTCGCGGACATTCTTGGGGTCGATGTTTTCAATCAGCTCCATTTCAAGCGCGACTGTGGCACCGCTCATGCCATCTCCGCTCAAGGGGGACGCATCGCTGTCGACCACAACATCGTCGGGGTTGGGACCGTCGTACAATTCGCCCACACGCGCCGATATGAACTTGCTCGAGCTCTGGAAGAGGATGGACTGGGCTCTCCGAGGCTTCTGCTCGCTATCCGAGAGCGCATGCTCGTCCGTGTCCGCACTCTCGATCACCAGCAGCTGCACCAGCGTCTGGTTGGTGTCCTTGTCCTTGATAAGTCGCACTCTGACGCTCTCCAGTGGCAGCATGTACCGCGGGCCTTCATATTCGATGAGTGGCAACAGCAGGCTTTCCGCACTGAAGCACACACATACAGGTGCAGCTCAATGTAAGTTATCGCCGTCACTCACAATTGACTCTCGGGGTGGATACACAGGGCGCGGCCCTTGTCCGTCAGCCAGAAGACATGTCTCGATTCCTCGAACAGATTAGTGGCCTCTGCTGAGATGGTGCCTGTCTGGATGGTGGCTTCAAAGTGCAGGTCGTACCTACGTCACGGACAGGCCGAACACGACCGTGCTCTTGACATGCAGTGAGTGCCGACGGATGCACCTACCGCGGCATGAACAGCGCCTCGCGCTTGACCCTCTTGAGGTACACGGGCATGGAGCCAAGTGGAGGCGAATAGTTCGCGGGCTGGTTGGGCGATGGCACAGCACCACGCAGCTCAATATAGCGCGCAGCCAAGGCAACCTGGGCCGCCCTGTCACAAGTCGATCCACAACCGGAGATGACTAACGGAATTTGGGGCTTCCATCTTCGCATCCTTCACCTCATTTTCTTGAAGGCTTGGTTCTTCTCCTGTGCATCGAGAAGGGCGACAAACATGTACTTCTGCTGCATCAAATACTTCTGCTGCTTTTTGTAGATGCGCTTGAGCCGACGTTGCGCTCGACTACGACCACCAGCTGCAGACAGAATCGAAGACTCTAAGTAAGTCGATGAGATGCTTTGCTTGTGTCGCTGACTGGCCGTTTCCAAAAGGCTGTCAGCGATGTTTTGGTTCTTTTGCTGTTCAAACGCCTGCACCGCATGGGCGACCTGCATAACTTGAGGCCGCAGCTGCACTTCCTTGTCGACTGATAGCCCGTACAGCCGGAAGATGGGGCGTGCGAGAAGAGGAATCGTCCACTTGTCGTCGGTCTCCTTGCTGCCTTTGTTGCTCCGACGAGAAGCGCTGGATTTCCAAGACTGCTCGGTGCCTTTGTAGGTGGATGCAAGCGACGACCTCCGGTGGTTGTCTGACGAAGACGCAGAGGAAAGCGTGCGCTTGACGTTTACAGTTGACGTCTCTTTACCTCCTAGTTGACCAGAGGTGATGCTCATGAGGATGTCTGGCGCTTCAGCCCCGTGCTGTGCCTCCTGCTGAATCTTCCGGGCTTCCCTGCCGCTCCTTCTGGCCACATTGCGCAGGGTGAGAAGAGAGGCTCCCAGCCTTGCCTGTACATCTCGATATTCTTTCTGTTGAACGCCTGAACGACACGGAAAGGGACACGGTTTCACTTAAAATGCACTCATGTGTTCGCCTCTAACGGTAGAATGGGACGAACTCTTCATTCCTGGCGGCGTCACGTTGCTTGAGCACGTCAGAAAAGCCCTTTGGGTGCTGCAGCCTTCGGGCAGCTATCATTGATCGCAGTGGAGTTCCTTCATCTTCCTCCTGATGATCCACAGCCATCGTGCGCCGCCCTTTGACAGCAGTACGCTATGTCTCTTACGTCTTTCTCTTTGTCTTTCCCTTCGCCCTCATTCTCAGCTTCGTGCGCCTTGTGTCGATCCCGCTTCCTCTTGTGGCGCTCGATGAGGAAGGCTAGCCACCCGAAGCAGCAGAAGAAACGTATTCTCCTCAAAATCCCCGAGATGTTGATGATAAGAGGCGCGACGAGAATAAGGCCACCAAACCTGACAAGGGAAATGGACCATCACACGATGATACGCAGCGCCCATCCTTTGCTTCGTCCTTACAGCCGAAATGGTGGACACACCATACACATAAAGTCCATGTCCTTTCTCGGATCTACCAGACATAGACAAACGAGGCCAGGCGGATGCAACGTGCATTGCGGTGGATGCTGGTGTACATCTGTCCTGGAAGAAGAGACGCTTTCGCTTGTGCGGAGGCCGCCAATCGGTCCTGAAACGCGAAAACTAGTCCTATCTGCCTCCCTAACCGGCATCACGGACTACCTGTCTCTGTTGCAGAAGTGCACGAAGGGCAGCAGGAGGACCGAGAAGAAGATGAAATACTCGACCACGCGCACTGGCTTGTCAATTATGTCTTGCAGCAGACTCACGGAGTCGCGCACTGTGTGAATGTTCGTGTCGTCAAATCGCTTGCTTGCTGTTGTCGCTGCCGCCGTGAACGAAGAGAGGTGGTCGCAGCCGCATCGTACATGCGTCTCATTGCCTGGAAAACAAGCAGCCAACGCAGTTGAGGGTCAATCCAAGTGGAGCCGCTCACTGTCCAGCTTCCTGCATCCTTCGGCAGACCACCCCCTGCTACTTGTGTCGAAGTACTCGCACAGCCACTCTTTCACCAGCGCAATGTACGATTCTGTGATGTTGAAGCACAGCTTTGTCGGGTCTCCGGCACACGGAAAAGAGCCCTCGGGCACTGGGGCAGCAAAAGACAAGACGGGCTCCTGCACATCGAGGTTCAGCTCAGGAGCACCGGGCAGGTGAAGCTGAAGTCGACACAGAGGAAGCACAGCACACCATCGTATGCACATCGAAATAACAAGGTCCTGACAATCGCGCGCACCTTCAGCAGGCTTTTGGCGCCTGCGAGTCGACGGAGCCGCCACGAATCGGGATCGGACACAATCGAGTCATGTACCGTCAACTCATCAGCCTCCAGTGCAGTCAGCTCTCGCTGATCTGTCGCATTGGCGAGCATCGGCGGCACTCTCAGGAAGAACTCTATGAGAGGTTCGCTGCCGTCGCCGGTCTTGGTCACCTCCAGGGGCTCGTTGCAGCAAATGAGCTCGATTGTTGTCACCTCCGGCACTTGGCCGCTGTCACCGTTGTCGGCAGTGGTGGCGTATGAGAAGGGGCTGACAGGCCAAGTGAGGGAATAGACAGACGTCGGACATGAACACAGGCTGGAACTCGACTGCAGACTGCGACCACTGCCACTCTTGATTGACATAGCCAAGCCGTGAGAAGTGTGCAGGCTTCCCTGACGGACAAATCGAAAAGACACTTGAAGTCGGCTATATTTCTTGTCACTCTGTGTCACTTACGTCCGCAAAGTGAAGTCCGCGTCCCTGAAAGTCGGCCACCTTCTTAACTTTCAGGGTCAGGTTGCTGGTGCTGACGACGTCTTCATCCTCCTCCAGGGCCCTCTTGATGATGCTGTTGGCCACGTTCCTGACTGTGCCCTGCATCGCGCCAGAAACATCTTCGCTCGCTGCCTGATCCGTCCTGAGGAGCCCTGACATGGTGTCGAACATGTCGTGTCTCGCACTTTGCATGAAATCCTCGTCCGTCTCGCTGTCCACTATGCCGTTCACATGTGCCTTGGCCTGATTCAGCAAGGCCTGTGCCCTGAAGGATGCCAATATGAGTGTGTAGTGAAGGTTTCTGTGTCTGTCTCTGCTCCGTACCCTTTGACCATCTGCGCTGATGAAAGTCTGCCTGCTAGGGGGAGGTCTGCGAACAGCTCTCTCATACTCAGCGCGATGGTACTAAGCTCCTCTGCTGACTGCGTATTTGTGAACACCGGCAGGCTCTGCACGCATTATGACACGTTATCTCTGCGGGGCATTTCTCAGTTTTGGGCGTACGTATATGTCAAGTATAGCATCCAAGGCGCTGGTGACCTCGTTCTCCTGGCCTCCTCCGTGGGTCGTGTGGGCGACGGAATATGCGGCGACGGTCGCTGCACCCGTTATTTGAGTGACGTCCGCACTCCGCGAAGCAATCTGGACAGCGAATATCATCGTGATGACATTTTTGCCTTAGCAGTATCTACGGACTAAATTGTCACCTGTGCGATGGCCTGTACACCGTCGCTGACTGCCGACGCTGTGGGGGTAACCTCAATGGTCACTGAAGGGCAGGCGAGTCCGCTCGTAGCGGTGCCCACATCCGGCTCATGCGTGAGGCACTGGAAGCCGTACGTGTCTCGAACAACTCCATACACTCGCCACTGTCCCGGAGGCAGCACAGCCTCACACCTGAGCCCGCCTTCGAGAGAAGTCCTGAATGGGCACAGCGGTCTGGCGGCTGCTGCTCCGCTTGGAGGCGACCGATAGAAGGCGAAGCGCTGCATGTCAGAAACGTAAGACCGAGACGGAGGATTGGGAGCCATGCTATCGTTGTCTCACTTACGAGTGCCTTCGTGTCGCTGTCGTCCATCCATCCATTTTGCTCGAAGACGACGCTCTGAGAGGACAAAACTTCGGTAAACGACGCCGTCACTTCGCCACCAAAAGGCGGCCGGTCAATGGTGAAGGCGTCCGAGTAGATCGTGCGCGGCGAGGTGCCCCTTTCTTGATGAATTGTCACAACGCCCTTGATCTGATAGGCATGATCCACTTCGAGACCGATTGGGCTGACCGAGAAACCAGCAAAAGTCGTCGTGACCGCGGCATCGCCTGCACGTTGATGGCGCACAACTTTCTGGCTCTCAAGGGCTGTCAGATTCCGAATGACTCCTCCTGGGACACTCTTGTCGTGCGCGTCGGCAGGAACGATTGACCATTGAACTGTCAGTGTGGCACTGCCCGTTAAGCCCTCGTGACATGCTGAACCCGGGCTTTGCGCATCTTGCTCAGAAAAGGCAGCCGAGTCGAAGATTGCGGCTTCGATGGTCCGTGTTGCCGAGGCGCTGCAGGGGAGACAGCACACAGGGATAAGCAGATGCCTGCCTGAAAGGTCCAGAGACACTCACCTCGAAGGGATGCGAGAGAAGGCAATGATCGGATATTGCATTTGATCGACCGAAAGCACTGTGACCTTCTTAGCAGCCGTAGCTTGTTCAGATATCTCTGTAGGGCCATCCTGGAGTGAAGCGGTCACACGAAAGTAGTAAACTCCTGGAGACAGCGTGTCTCCCTCAATTGTCCGCACGTCGATGTTCTCCTTGGCGATCGAGCTGGTATACGACTGACTCAACTCCTCGCCGCCACACCCATCCAGGAAGCTTGTGGCCTGATCCTTGTCGGTCACGAGCAGAGACACGAGCTCCTGCTCGTCCACTGTTGCTCCTTCTTTTAGCCGATAGCAGCTCCAGTCGAAGACAATGATCGCATCAGCCGACGCCGGAATCCATGTGACAAGAGCGACCGCCCTCAGCGGCAGGGGGCATGAGGAGGAACTTAAGTGCGGTGCAGAAATGCTCAGCCCCGGGGCTCGATACTTGTCAAACTTCACGTCGAACTTCATATCCACCGCCGAGTCTGGCTGGTTGCTGTATGAGACGCGAGCGATAAATGCGTAGGTCGAGAGCGGCGGAAAGGTGTTGGGAGGGAGGGACAACATGAGCTGGGCCCCGCTGGAGTCACTGCTGGACTTGCGGTTGAATACGTCACCCACTGACTCTTCGTAGGGCCACTCCACAACGATGCTCCGTGACGTGGAAGCGGGAGCTGTCCCGCCTGATGTGCACCTCTCATCCAGGCGCCCCTCGTCCTCCACAACAATCCTCAGCCGAAGAGGAGCATCAACCTGAATGAAGTAAAACGTCCAGTCCTCTGTGTTCGCAGGAACAGTGCTTTGTCTCTTGTACCCTCTGAGTCATGACAGCTGGCGTTTCGGGTGCAGGGGACACAACTGGAAAAGAGACGTTTGTTGCCAGATTAAGCCTGCTCTCGATTGTCCTTGAAACTTCTGAGCCCAGGAAGTTGCGAAGCACGAGCTTGAATGTGAAAGTCGCTTCCTGCGCGTCACTTGAATGGGTCTGATCCGTGTCCAGGGCCTCCCAAATATATGCAGGCTCGACGACGAGCGTCAATGTTGAGGATGTGACATTGAGTGGTCCTTTGACGGGGCCTGGCGAACAGTCGCATAAAAGAGTGAATGCAGAAGATGCAGAAGGTCTTGTGGTGTTTCGTATGTAGTCTGACCTTCTGTGGTCCCATTGATGTGCTGGTTGAGATAGCTGCATGCCTGTTGAGGACTAATACAGCTCCACGTCGCTTCAATATGCCTTCCGAGTCCCCCGTCCAGGTTCACATTGATCACAAGCGGATGACAGATGGAATGGACAGGCTGCTTCACGACCACGGCAGTCGGGCTGGGGGTTTCTAAAACATCGTTGCTGATCCCGATCGGCTGGCTGGCACCCGCCAGAAACCAGCCGTCGGGGATCGTCGATGGAGACAGCTGCAAGGACTCAGCTCGAAACAGCGTCTTGTTCTGGATCGCGATGAGGTCTGCGAGGCCGGCTGTTGGATTGTGGCCAAGGGAGATCCTGATGACGCGCGCCGAATCGGCAGTGCAGGTCGGCGCGCTGCCCAACAGCATTCGACTCTCTGGTGTGAAGACGTCGCACAGATCCAGCGTCGTCTCTTCAAGGGTGGCGAGAGACATGGCCTGCTGGTCAGAGACAGCCACATCTGCCGCGAAGACCGCCAAGATGGATGAGAAGCCGTCCTGATACTCAGCCGACAACAGCTCCGGCGGACCAAGCTCTCCGCACACAGACGGCTGCAACCCTGCAAAAGGAAAGACTTGCTGTGAGTGTGGGGAGGGTGTGCATCTTTACCAGGCTGACAACCGATGACTGGTTCGCCAGCAAGCTCGACCGTGTCGCTTTCGCAGGAAACTGGCGTAGCGCACTTGACGAGCAGCTCGCTTGGAGGGACATGGACACCCTGCTTGCAGAGGTGCCAAGTGTCGTTCCATGAAAGATGCTCTTCCAGCTTCGCCAGAAGGTCACAGAGGGAGCCCTCTCTGCAGATAGATCGCCCATTATCGTCGGTCTCGCACACCCAGCGGTCCTCTACCATGCACTGCGCATCACATCCGTCGCCCGTCTCCTCATTGCCTGCATACGTACGAAATGCCCTGATGGCATAGATGGCATATGCCAATCGCATTTTCTCCCCTCACCGTCGTCGCACTGCTCATCTGCCGTGACAATACCGTTGCCGCAGACCGTAGTCTGTCCACAAAGACGCACAAGGCAACCTGTCAATGCCATTATTGTTCTGCCGCGTTGCGCATAGCTCTTACGCAGTTGTACGTCGGGGGAACTGTGGGTAGCATCACGCAGTCATAGCCGTGGCTGCAATCCTCGAAGCAGCCCGGACCTGTACACACATGCATGAGCAGATCTGAATGAGACTCCGGGCGTGTCTCCGCGACATGCAATCCTTGCGGCAAACATACGGTATGTGACGGTAAGTATATTGGATGGTCCATTCTCGTTTCCGGCCAAGTCCATTGCCGCTCCGGGCTTGATCTGGATGCTGAAGGTCCCCGAGCTGGCGAACCGCACCTCCAGGCGATATTCGTTTTCGGAGCCGCCGGACGGTGGAGACTGTGGTGTATCATCATCGGGACATCCGGACCCATAGCATGTGCACACGCCATTGATGCAGATCACGCTCGCCAAGCTCCTCCTTGCGCTTGGAGAAGATGGAGTGAGGGACAGATAGACAAAGCCTTGAAGGGTTAGCTGTGTGGCTAAGGCGGCCGAGTCGATGACCACTGGCTCGTCGAAGGACAGCAGCAAGGTCACGTCGGCTGAGACAGAGGAGTTGTCCGTCGGTCGAATGTTTGACCCTGTGGTGTCGAGCATGATGATAGGTGTTGGCGGCACCGTATCTGACGAAAAAGCGAGAGGCACACACCGACTGCCATGTCTCCGCTAAGACAGCCAATGCTTGGGTGCTTACCTGCAATGAAGCGCAGTTGCAGAGTGTTGCTTGTAATCACTGTCCCCACATCGACGGTCGCATAGACATCGAGTGTCCGTGCAGTGGCCGACGTCAGCTGGAACGTCGCCATGCCTTTGAACAGCGTGAGATCCGTTCCACACACACCTTCAGTCACGGGCGAGCCACCAGCGCTGCAATGGACGGCGAAGCTGTCGTAAGAGCCTATCACTGTCGACCCCTGGCTGTCAGTAGCTTGAACAGTGATGTCTGCATCGCTGTTCGTCGCGTAGTCCGTCTGAGAAGCTGCCAACACCAGTGCAGCTACCGGACTAATGACAGTGACATTGACGCTTATCGCAACGATGGGCGGAGAATTGCAACTCCCCCCGACGGTCACAGTGCCGCCTGTGGCAAAGCTGCGAGCGACGAACTTCTGGCTCTCGTTGCCGAAGGCGATGAGGTCCGTCTCAGAGCCGCTCGGCCCGTCGAAAGTGACAACCCCGCCGCTGATGATTCTTGCAGGGCTTCCGGTGCTGTCTTCGATTGACACCGTCACCGTAAGCATGTCGTTGACTGGAAGGGACAGCTGGTCGGGCGTCAGAATCATTACTAAAAACAACCAGGAAACCAGACAATCTCATTTCGTCGATGTAGCTTCATGCATCAGACCTGGATAACATTCGACTTCGATGGGGTACGCAATGAGGGATGGTCCAGTCGCTCCGATGGTTACGACACCGGGTTGCACCAGCGTATGAGTGCTCAACGCATGGCTCACACCATCGAGCGTGAGGTCAGTCGTCTCGATGGTCGAGCCGTCCATCTCGAGAGTCAGTGTGACGATTACCTGCCCGCTGATGACCACCGAGGCGTTGTAGACGTCTGTGATCGATACATTGAGAGTCAGGGTGCCGCCGGTCGTTACCCAAGCTGCGTCGGGGGACAGTGCAATCAGTGTCGGAATTCCTGCATAGAAAATGAGATCATTGCATGAAACCGGGAGCCTGCCGGCCGATGCCCTGGTCGTCACCTGGCAATGGATAGCATTCGTTGACGTTAACGGAAGGCTCAACATGGGTAAGAGGGGTACGATGGATCTCGCACCGTGAGTCATCTGGATACTTCTTCACTTCAAAGCCCACACATTGAGGATCTGCGGCACCTGCACACACACAAGGGAGCGGCAAACAACGGGTATATTCGTAGGCGGTGTCTTTTTGTCTTTTTAAGCAACTCACACATGTCCGAGCAAAGCGTCCGTCGTTGTAGAGTGGAAACGTTGGCGTTGATATGCAGGGTATAGTCGCCACCGGAGCTCCCACACGTGCTGCACCGGCAGGCTCCATCGCCCAGAGGAGGGCCTGCCAGTGGATACGTTGATCCGAACCAAGCAAGGATCAATAGCACTCATGCATCGTGCGGCTTCGTTCTGTGGCCATCGCGGCTCACCAGCCGTGAGATCAAACCCCCAATGGCGTGCCAGCAACGGGGAAAGGAGGGCGATGATGAGCAGCCCTCGTGAGAAAGGCCAGGTAGTGCACAAAGTCATGGCTCCGCGCGGGAGAGAAGGGGAGAGAGGGGAAAATGATGATAGAGCTCGCAAAAGGAGCGATCGACGATCGCACCAGGGGATCTGGAGGATATCAAGCCCCTTCCTCACACTATGTGTGCAGCATGCAGAGAAAAGGCGGCTTTGGAAATCTTGAGTAGCCGTCTCATTGTCTCGCCGACAAAGCCACTTTCAATAGATGCAGCCACATAAATGGTCGATGGGCCATTGCAACTCAACCCAACCACATGCATGTACCATGGCACCCTTGTCCACATGCACTCATTCAGTTGTCTGGCGGCTTGTAGAACATCTCGGCGTACTGTGTCCTGAATGCGTGCATGATGATGCCCCCCGCCACCCCCACATTGAGCGAATCCATCAGCTCACTCATCGGCAAGGCCACCCTGACACCACACACACACACACACACACACACACGCATACACAGAGAGAGAGAGAGAGATCTATACGTGTGTGTGTGTCGGTACAACCCATTTCTGGCCAGGGCGTCGCTTGCTCACTTGGCGCAATTGTTGAGTAGCAACTCTGAGGGCCCCGCTGATTCGTTGCCCAGAATGACGCACACGCCCCTGTAATGCGGGGGGACTGACAACAGACAACAACAACACCAACAAACACATATGATCAGTGCAGTGCCCTCCCTTCAAGTGCGCCGCGCCCTGTGTGTGTGTTCAGGTTCCTTCCGCCTCCATCCCATCCACCCACTTGGTATCTCTTGAGGCGGTCTTCCCTGAACGTGTGCGACGAGGGGCAGGAGCTGCTCCTGTCGGCAGACGTCCAACAGCTGCCCACTCGTACCTGCACAGCACACGTGAGTGACATGAATGACACGTGCGGTGGGATGCGATGCGATGCGTGCGTCATGTCATGTCATGTCATGTATGTGCAAACGTCGGTCGCATCGCTCGCTCACCTTTCATGTAGGGCATCAGGAACGCAGTGGCCTGGCTGGACTCCTGTAAACAGCCACACAGAGACAGACAACAGACACAAACCGCACACACATGTCACTAATTGGGCATCCCATGCCCTTCCCTGTTTGCTCGACAACTCACAAGGACTCTGTTGTTGAATGGGTCGGCGGTGCCGTCGACGAAGAAGAGCCCGTCGTAGCCAAGGGCAGCAGCGTTGGTCAGCAACAGACCCAGGTTGTGCACGTAACGAACACGGTCAAATGCCACCAGATACCTGCACACACACACGCACGCCGACACATGCGCCGCAGAGTGCACACACATGCCCGCACCGCATCCCCTGCTCTCTGTGCCGGCCGACCGAGGGCTGTCGAACTGCTCCACAGGGAGCGGCATGGTCATCTCGCCCACACACGCGGTCTCCCGCTCGCTGTCGGTGCAGCAGATCCACTCCAGCAGCGACCTCTCCACCACATAGATCAGCCGTGCGGCCCGCCGCGCCCTCAGCCGCTCAGCCAGACCCCTGTCGCTCGTCAGAACCATCCTGAAGGGAAATGGCAGGCCGATCTGGCACACGCGGTCGCTCTCCGCCCCTGTCAACTGGCCTTCATTCTCCCCCAGCCGGCCTTCCCTCTGGGCAAAGTAGATCCGGTCGTCGTTGATGGCTTCCGCGAGGCTGGTCACGAGCTGCTCGCCCTTGACGATCAGCCTCCCACATGTGTGTCGGTAGTTGGTCTTGCGCTTGAGGCGCATGAGGTGCCTGACGAGGCGGCTCTTCTTGTGGAAGTGCTTGGTCATGACTATCGACGCGCCCAGCGACTCGCTGTCCGGCACTTTGCCGGTGTCATCGATGCGGAAGCGGCAGAGGTCCGCGCGGCGGTGCTTGATGGCCGAGTGGGATGGCAGCCAATCCAGCGGCCGTGATGCTGATGATGACATTGAGATAACGTCTGCGTCTGGAGCCTGTGATGATTGCGCCGGATCGGCCTGTGCGGTGAAGAACCTCCGCCGAATGGCGACGCAATCGGCTGTTGCGGTGATGGGGATGCAGGGTGGATGAATAAGAGCAGCTCCTCGAAGCGGTTGAAGCCTCCCCATCGAAGATCTTGAGGAAGGAAAGGAGAATCCCTGCCAGTGGGCATTAGGCTCGCACCGCCCCCCGCTGCCCCCAGTCTCGCCCCCATTGCAGATTGTCTCGGTTGGACGAGGCAGAAGCTCCGAAGGCATCGCCATGGCTTGTAAGTCCCCACTGACAGACAGGGAGCCGACATGCACGCTTCTTATCGCCGTGCCTTTCTGCTCCTGTCCGTTCTTTCTGTGCCGCTTCTCACTTCTTTTCTGTGTGTGTTGGTTTTGTTGATGTGTGACACCGTGTGTGTGTGGCAGCGAACATCAAAGTGTATCTGCGTGTGCGTCCGACGGCCAAGCCTGCACCCTCATTCAACACATACGATGATGAGGGCGTTGTCGAGGTGCGCTCAGACACGCACACACAGGAGGATAGATGGACGGTCTATCTCCCCTGTCTGTCTGTGTGTGCATGGCATGTATGGCTGTGTCAGTTTGACATGCCCCGTGAGGTGCCTTACGTCAACAACACCCGCTCCAACTTCAGGTTCAAGTTCGACGGCGTCTTCGGCATGAAGGCCACCCAGGAAGAGGTCTTCAAGACACTCGCCGTGCCTGTCATCGATGACGTACCTTAAACCGCACACAGACGCACGCACACACACACACACAAACACCAGACACGGCACGTGGCTGTGTGTGTGCAGGTGCTCCAGGGCATCAATGGCACCATATTCGCCTACGGCCAGACGGGGAGCGGCAAGACCTTCACCATCACGGGCGGCTCCGAGCGGTACGTCGACCGTGGGCTCATCCCGCGGGCGCTGTCGCACCTGTACGGCCTCATGCATCGGCAGAAGGGCGAGACCTCTTACAAGGTCTACATCTCGTACCTGGAGATATACAACGACAGGGGCTATGACCTACTGGCCACCAATGTCAAGGAGGCCAGGAAACTCGAGGATTTGCCAAAGGTCAGTTTGGCCGGTCAGTGTGGCCGAGCGAAAAGGTGCGAGCGATTTATCGGTTGTCTGTCTGTCTGTCTATCTGTCTGTCTGTCTGTCTGTCTGTCCGTGCGCGGGTGCGACGTGCTAGGTGTCTCTGATGGAAGACGATGAAGGCAACATTCACCTCAGAAACCTCAGCGTCAACAGCGCTCAGAACGAAGAGGAAGCTCTCAACCTGGTCGGCAAAACCCTTCATCCATCCATCCATCCATTCCATCTGCCCTTTGCCCCTCCATGCAATGCAATGCAGCTCTTCCTAGGCGACACAAATCGTGTGGTGGCCGAGACGCCCATGAACGACGCCTCCACCCGGTCTCACTGCATCTTCATCATATGGGTGGAGAGCCACCAGGCCGGGTCAGACGCCGTCCGACGCGCCAAGTTCCACCTCGTCGACCTGGCGGGCTCCGAGCGCGTGGCCAAGACCGGCCTCAACCCCGACGAGACGCTCTTCAAAGAGGCATGCAGCATCAACCTCGCCCTGCACTACCTCGAGCAGGTCTGTTGGTAGTGGTATTGGGAAGGGGGGATTGACATGTCTGTGGTGTGGGTGGGGGATGGATGGGCGCAGGTGATAGTGGCTCTGCATGAGCGTGCCCGGGGGAACAGGCTTCACGTGCCGTACCGGAACTCGATGATGACGTCTGTGCTGCGGGACTCGCTGGGGGGCAACTGCAAGACCATTATGGTGGGCAACGTGGCCGTTGATGGGCCTTGTATCGAGGAGACCATTTCCACTTGCAGGTGGGCACACACCGCACACCACACCGAGGGAAAGAAACATGACGCCATGCCGGCCGGGTCGATGTGTGTGTCCTGTTTGTGTGTGTGTGCCACTAAACCAACAGGTTTGCGCAGGCGGTAGCTCAGGTGGAGAACACGGCCACGATCAACGAAGAGACCGACCCCAACCTGGTCAGACAGACCGGCAGCTTAGAGAGCAAATGATATGTATGCGTGTGCGGCCGGCCATTCATTCCATCCATCTCATCTGCACTGCACTGTCCCTCCGGCATGCAGATGATCAAGCGCCTAAAACAAGAGATTGAAGAGCTGAAAGAGGAGATCCGCATACTCAAGGTGAAAGCGATGACGAGTGAGACAGGCACAGCACAGCACAGTGAGTAGTAAGACGTATACGCTTTGTTATGGTGCAGGGTGAGGGCGGCGAGGGATACGACCCGACTGCCCCCCTGACAGAGCAGGAGATGGCCGACTGCCGCGCCGCAGTGCAGGCCTACATAGAGGCCGACGACCCCTCCGCCAGCATCTCCCTCTCACCTGATCTCAGGAGAACCAAACACTACTTCAAACTCATGAGGTGGGTGGCCACACACACAAACACACGAGACACCTCACAAGACACCTGCTTTGTGCCTCTACCTCTCTGTGTGTGTGGCACACAGAGAGGAGATCTGGGCGGCGAGGCAGCAACAGCTGCAGAGCAAAGACAGCACCAAACACAGGGACAGGGATGGCGCGAGATGTGTGGTGGCGGCATCATCAGCCTCAGCCTCAGCACCAGCATCTCACCATGACAACGACACCGTCCGTCGGCTGCAGATCGAGCTGCAGCAGCGCGACAACGAGCTCGCCATCCTTATGAACGTCATGAACCAGAAAGGAGGCCTCGCGGGGGTGCAGGGCATTCCCGAGAGGCTGCTAGGGCTCGGCACAAACCCACCCCCACCCCTACCCCCACCCACACAGCCGTCGGTAAGTCCCGGGAGACCATGAGACGAGACAGACACGGACACAGCAGCCAACACGCGAGCACCAGAAGTGCCTCCCTGCGTCTCTCTCTCCCTCTGCAGACCTCTGCGGGGTCTCCCGCGTCGCCATCATCGGCCAGCTGCAGCCCGTCCACAGTCGAGGAGCTGGTCGACCGCAACAGGGCTTTCGAGGTCTTCAGAAAGAGCGTCAGACGTACTGAGGTAGGTAGGTAGGCACCCACATACCTACCTAACACACGGGCGGGAGTGCTTCTGTGTTTTGTGTGGTGGGCTTGCAGTCGTTTGAGGAGAACAAGGATCTGCTGCGACAGCTGTACGGCGAGGCCAAGGGGCTGGGGGAGCGGGCCAACGAGGCACGGCAGAAGATCACCGACCTCAAGACCAGGATAGAGAAGGGGCGGGTGCGCAGAGCTATGGAGGCGGCTGAGACACAAAGCTGCTCAGCGGCTTTGGAGGAGCCCACTGCCGGTCGGCCAGCCAGCCATCTGTACATATAGATGCGCGCAGGACTGTGTGTGTGTGTGGATCCTTTGCTAGATGCCGAGGAGGAGGCATTGCTGACCGAGATGGAGCAGCACAAGACCACCTACAAAGACTGCACCGCACAGCTCAGAGAAGTCAAAGGCGAGACAGACACCGACCGACCGACCGACCAGCCCTCACCCCTCCTACACACACACACATCCATCCCCTGTCTCCCTATCTCTTATCTCTCTCACTCAGGTCACATAGAGCGCATTCAGCAGCTGATGGTGCAGAACAAGGCCAGGCTCCAGCGCGACTTTGAGAGATGGCTGGAGACATGCAGACGAAAGGGGCCGCCAGCAGCAGCTGCGGCGGCAGCACCCCCCGCCCCACCCCCACCATTGCACAGCTCTGGGAGCGATCTGCCGTCCCCCAGTGAGTGCCACCCCAATGGGGTGCCCAAATACACGGGCCACCAGGACACTGATATGGTGAGTAGAGAGAGCTACTGGGGTGGGTGGGTGCGGTGCACCGTCAGGGAGGGAGGGAGGGATGCATGTGTGTGTTCTGTTGGTTGGTTGGTTGCAGGACATAGCCAAGTTCTATCAGGCCAGGCTGGCCAAGAGACAAGGGCCGTGAGAGAGATGTGTGTGTGTGTGTATGCGTGTGTGTGTGAGGTGTGCGTGTTGATGCGACCTTGCCATTGCCCTTGCAATTGTCACTGTCAATTTCGCGCATTTATTGATCGCCATAGAGGCAGGCAGGCAGGCAGGCACACACATCATCGCGCAGCAGGGTGTGGTGTGTTGTGTCTGTCAATCGGCAAGACTACCACACACACGAAGACACTCATCAGACAGACAACGTAGGCAGGAATTAAACCGTCACCCAAACCAATGCGCTCATGGCTAAGGAGGGAGGGAGAGAGGGAGGCCAGGGGGGGAAAAAGCCATCCCTTCCTCCACACACACAAATATAGAGCGGGCCCATCAACCAAGCCATCACGCCCAAGTGAGATGTCTGTCTGTCGCCCTCCTGTCCGGTCGGCAAGCAACCGGTTGGAGAACTCCCTCATGTCCATCATCGAGGCCACACTGGTCTTCCGTCTGTTGCTGACGGAAGGCCGCAGTCACCCAGACGACGGCCATGTGTGAGCACTCACAACAGAGCTGCCGGCCCATGTTAATCAGGACTCGAGGCGAGAGGAGAGACACGAGGAAGACAGAGAGAGAAAGAAAAAGACCGACAGACAGACGGACAGACACAAATACGGAGGGGTGGTAGGTGAGCTTACGCAATTCACCATCATAGCCAGAAGAGGGCGGGAAGGGAAAGCCATTAGGTCGGTGCTCTTCCCCCCACCTCGCCTCGCCTCCCCCCCCACCAACAACTCCATCAACTCCGCCAGACAAACAAAAAAACATAAGAGGGAGAAGAAAGCTGACGGTAACTGACGGAGCCCCCCCCCTCCCCCCGCCGGCCGCCGACCTGTCCGCAAAGCTAGCGAATTGAGCCGCACAGCCCCTTCCTGCCCCCCTCCTACCCTATCAGTCAGTCATGCCACGTCATGTCGTCTGATCACCAGTCATCCTCCGGATCCTGCTCCATCTTGACCACTCCGCCGGGACTCCCGCCACCACCACCGCCACCACTGCCGCTGCCACCAGCAGCCTTGGTGTGGGCCCCATCCCCTCCTCCGCCCCCTGCCCCCGCCCCACCTCCTACGATAGCGTCCAGGCCGGCGTGGCGTGAGAGGTTCTCCAATATTCCCTCGATACTTCCAGCCCCCAAAGTGCCCTCGAGTGCATCACGCAACGTCGGCTGTTGCCCACCACCCTGTGGTGCAGCGGGAGGAGGGAAGTCTGGGGGAGGGGGTGCGGCAGATGTGATGGATGAGAGAGCCGACTGGACGGCGGCCTGGTAGTCGGTGTGCGACGGTTGCTGTGGCTGCTGTGGCTGCTGCTGCTGTGGCTGTGGCTGTGGCTGTGGCTGTTGGAGTGACGGGATGCGGTCAGCTGGTCTGGGTGGGCTGGGCTTGGCGGAGTGCTCACTCTCGTGGGCATCCACGAACTCCTCGTTCGACGGCTCCTCGCGAGACTGAGAGAAAGAAATGCAGGGGGGGATGCACACAAGGATGGATGAGTCATGTGTCGATTGCGGTGCGGTGGGATGTGGTGGTGTGGTGGTGTGGGTGTTTTGTGTTGGTGGAGGTGGAGATGTCGCTCACTCTGCTGTGTTCGTCGCCGTTTCTCTCTCTGGGTGTGGACATGTCGTAGAACTCGGTGTTTGACGGCCGCTTGAGGTCGCGGTCGCCACCCACCACCTCACCCGACGCAGTGGTCGACGCAGTGCGCTGGTTGCTGACTCACACAGAAAGTGACACACACACACACAGACACCCAAGACAGAGGCATCCATCCACCTTATATCACACGTCGATCCATCTTGATCGACCGTACCTGATCTCAGCCACGGGTCCCCCACTCTCCTGCTGCGAAAAGCCGGGCGGCGGCCCCACAGACAGACCGCCGCCCCCCTGGCCACCTTGCCCAGTCCCCCAGCTGCTGCTGCTGGGACAGTCGAGCGACGGCTGTGTGCTGCTCCTGTGATGGTCGGTGAGGGCCTGGCTGCCAGAGGACGAGCCCATGCCCCAGCCGCCGAAGGAGTTGGCTCGCTGGGGGTCAAATCGAGGGGAGGCCTCCCACGCGTCGAAGATCTCACTGTCGGTCCACTCGCGGCAGAAGTTGTTGATGCCGGGCTTCCCGGGCCGGCCGGGCTTGCCTGACACACGCACACGAACAACGCACAGATATATTGAGACATTGAGACATTGACATTCGTCTGTGGTGGTGGGCTGCTTACCCCCCCGGCCTCTGCCTCGTTCGCCCAGTCTAAACCCGCGGCCCCGTCCAAAGTCGCCCCTACCACGACCTCTAGCCATGCCGAACCCTCCCCCTCCCCCACCCACAATCCACGAGTCACCACCATACCCACCAAGGCCACCACCACCACCACCAGCCCCGCCCCATGACGACGAGTCGCCCCCTCCCCCTCCACCGCCATATGCCGACCCGCCGAACCGTGAGAGGGATCCTCCGATGATGTGTGGCAGCTGTGCGGTGGCCTGCTCGCGGTGCGGCTGCTGCTCGCGGTGCGGCTGGTTGGCGGGGCTGCCGTGGCCGCCGACGTCCCACGCGCTCGCCAGCGAATCGTCTAGCTGCCGGTGGGGCTGCGCCCCGAAGTAGGGGGAGCTCGACTGCTGTGCGCTGCCTGGCGATGCTGCTGGGGATGGGGTCGCCTTGGGGGCTTCTGTGGAAAAGGGATATCAAGGGGTGGAGAGGGAGAGCTTATCAAGGCAGGTGGCGAAGGTCTGCGGCGTACCTACGACGATTCCGATCTTGGCTTTGAGCGCGTTGACGAGGCCGACGGGCAGGCCCAGTTGCTTCCACTGGTCCTCTGTCAGCTGGCGAAGCGCATCCGCCCTGATGAATGACACAAACGGCAAAACCACAGCGGCTGCAACCATGGGGTGGGGGCTGGGCTGCTCTGCTCACGTGTTGAGCCACTGGCTGCTGAGTGTGGTGTAGACCCTCATGGCCTCCTCCTCAGTGCGGCCGTGAGACAACGCACACTCACGGATCGCCGCATACAACTCCTGCCTGCAGCCATTAACCACAACACACCACAACAACACACTAAATGACACACACGCCCCTCGCCCTTCTGTATCATCCTGTGCCGTGTTGACTCACTGCTCTCGGTCCTTAGGGACGTCATACTGTTGCGGCTGTGGCTGCTGTGCCTGTGCCTGTGGCGGTGCCTGTGCCTGTGGCTGGGCAGCCATCATGCCCCCTCTCTCCGCCCCTGCCGCCATCCCCACCTGCTGCTGCTGCTGCGGCACCTGCTGGGGCGGCTGGGCGGCAGCTTGCTGCTGCTGCTGCTGGCCGCCATAGTAGGGGTATCCCGACACAGACATTACTCGCTGCTGCTTGGCCACGGGAGCAGCCTGCACCTGCTGCTGCGGCATGGTGGGCGATGTCCGCTGAGCCGGGGGCGGCTGGCGCGGCATGGACTGATAGAGCGGCTGTTGCTGTTGTTGTGTCTGCTGCTGTTGTGAGGGTGCCTGCGATGGGGGCGGCATGGCGGGGGCGGGTGAAGGGCGGGGGGCAGGGGCGGCGCCTGTCGCGCTCAACAGCTTCAGCACCTCTGCACACACGAGAAATCAAGAAGGAAAGGAAAAGGGCAGAGATACGACGTAGATGGACGTGTAAGAGCGATTGATGCTCTCCTTCAGCTGGCTTACGGCTGATTTCCGAGCCTTGCAGCGATCCGAGTGACCCGAGCAGCTGCCTGGCGGCCTCGTCGTTGCCCTGGTGCCCGCCTCCGTCCAACTGAAGGGCCGTGAACAAGGCCTCCATACCCTGAGTGTTGGCAGATGCCAACAAACACCCCACCCCGCAGCACAACACCATCAGGAAGGCAAGAATTGTGAGCTCCTATCTCCTCATTCATTGGCCTGGCCTCTCTGCTGACTGACCAAAGGGCATACCTGGTCGCCCGTCGGTTGCTGCTGTCCGTGCCTCTCGTCACCGAAGAAGGGCTGGCGTGCCGGGGACCCCGTCGCCGGTGGCTGCCCTGGCCCTCCGCTAACCTGACGCTGCGGGTGCTGCTGCTGCTGCTGCTGGTGGTGGGGCGGGTTGAACGGCTCCGCACCCGCACGCAGATGCCCCGACTGCTGCTGCATCGCTATCGCTGTGGTCCACTCCACTATACTATACTCCACTTTTGTGTCTCGGCTGGCACACGATTGGAAGGTGGCTGCTGAGCAACGGGTAAGCGGAGGAACGTGCAACACTCCTGTGGTGTGCTGTGCCGCGGCGAGGCTCCAACCTTGCTGCTGGAGAGGGGATCTCCACTAACAGATGGCAAGAGGAAATGGCGATCGCCAAAAGCGCTGCGCCTGACCTGAGCCGGCTGCCAGCCGTCCGACAGCTACGCTGTGCAGCAATCAAAACTCCGTTGCGAGCTTATTAGCGAGCTTTTGGAGTACGAAACGGATGGCGCCTGCAGGGATGATGATGGCTACAAGGAGAGAGCTTCCCTGGAGATTGCCGCATCATCGTTTTTCTGAGGCCATCCCCGCTGATGGATGATCTGCTTGGCTTCGACCTCCTCGAGGATGACCACCATGAGGATGGTTATGATTATGAGTATGAGCATCAGCCGGACACCGCCCTCTCTCTCAACCATCGGCTGCAAGATGAGCTCCTGGCCTTCAAGGACGCCATCAGCGAGCAAATCGCCCAGAACGAGGCTACTCAGCGGCGCCTGCAGCAGTGGCTCGTCGCAGCCAAGGAGAACGAACGGAAGCGAAGGCATCCAGGCCGATATGTCCCTCCCGACTCACTGCTCAGCTCGATAGCGCGTGACGGCTCGGCTCTCCCGACCAACCCCGATGCAGTTGCCAAGCGGCAGCTCAAGGAGGGCATCCCCGTGAACCCGAGAGCTGGTGGCGGGCCGGCGGTCTGGACGACGGTCGAGAAGACGGTCTTGCGGAAGATCATCGTGAGCCAGCTCAAGGCGCAGGTGCTGCAGGAGGCCATCGACAGGGAGCAAGCCACCATCCCCAAGCCGGTCATCCCGCTCGGCACACCCGCGCCCGCGGCGTCCTCTCTGTCAGCCGCCCTCAAGAGCTACCAGGACCGGGTCAACGGGATGGACCTGCCGGCCCTTCTGCAGGAGCTGCGCGGCCCAATCGACTGGGCTCAGATCGCTTCTCGGTACCTCTTCCGGATCGACGCTGGATGGGAGCAGGAGAAAGCTGAGCAGAAGGAGGCGTACGAGCAGTATCTCAAGAAACGCGGGTCGTCTTCTCGCGGCCGCAGGCGGAAGCAGAAGGAGAATGACTGTGAGGGGTCTGACGGTGAGGGGGCTGAGGAGGAGAACGACGAGGCGGGTGGTGTGGGTGGTGGTGTGAATGGGGAGGCCTATGGCGAGAATTTCCTGAAGGGCAAGCGTCCGCCGACTCGGAGGGAGGAGGACTGCCAGCAGTGCTTTGAGCACTTCCTCGACCCGGACGTGGTGCGCACCAAGTGGACGGGAGCCGAGGACAAGAAGCTCCTGGAGCTCGCCACACACTACAAAGGGTGCAGACGCAGCCAGCACACACACACAGAGGGGGCAGGGGGGAGCTCCGTGTGTTGAAATGGTGCGGTGTGGTGTGGTGTTGTTCGTAGTCATTATTGGGATGAGGTGGCCCGTGAGCTAGGCACCGGCCGAACCGAGTACCAATGCCTCGTCAGATACCAACGAAGCCTCAACAGAAGTAAACACACACACACAGAGAGAGAGAGAGAGAGAGAGGCTCTCTGAGATCCGTGTGTCTGCCTGTGGTGCGCGTCCTGTGTGTGGTGTGTCCATGTGTGTGTGTGTGTGTGTGTGTGCAGATTTAGTGAATCGTCCGTGGACCGAGGCCGAGGACGAGCATCTGAAGGAGCTGGTGGCCACCTACGGCGACAGCAACTGGCAGACCGTGGCCAACCTGCTGTCCAACAGGACACGAGAGCAGTGCATGGCCAGATACAACAAGACGCTGCGGGTCAGGGCGGCAGGGATGGAGGGAGATACACCACCCACACATGTGAGTGTGTGTGTGTGTGTGTGTGCAGCCTGGTCTGAGGGGCGGCAATTGGAGCGCCGCTGAGGACCTGAAGCTGCAGCTGTTGGTGGAGGTCTACGGTCGAGGCAGCTGGTCCAAAATCGCCGCCCACATGCCAAACAGAAACGACCAAAAGTGCCGCGAAAGGTCACCCACCCCAGCGCCTCACCACATCCCATCGGCATTACGTGCTGTGCTGTGTTGTGTTGTGTTGTGTTGGGTAAGGTATGAGAACCTGTTGGCCCCGGAGAAGAAGAAGAGCCCCTGGTCGGCACAGGAGGTCACAAAGCTCCTCGACGCGGTGGCGAACCACGGCCCCGGCAGCTGGAGCAAGATCAAGGTGCGTTGCCACTCACTTAGCCCCACAGGCACAGGCACATCGACGGGGTGCTGTGTGTTGTGTGTTGTGTGTTGTGTGTCGTGTAGGCTCATGTGCCAGGCCGGACGGACGCCGAGTGCCGCATCAAGTGGGAGACGGTGGTCGACATCAAGGACTACGACAAGTACTACGAGCTCCACCAGAGGAAGAAGGTGCTGCTCGCCAGAGGCCAAAAGTAAGCGGCCGTTAACGGCATACACCACACACGCACATCCATCCATCCATCCATCGATGCGCGTATGCAGGCCCGCCGACCGCCCCCAGCTGGCCGTCACCGACCTGGAGACCGACCGGAAGGCCCTGAGGAAGGCCTTCAAGCAGGTGACCAACGTCAAGGACTTCGCCGACGACATCAAGCGGCGGAGGGACCTGAAACGCGACAGGGAGCAGGCGGGCCTGTCAGAAGGTGACGAGCAACACGAAGAGGAGGGTGAGAAAGAGGGCGACGAGGAGCAAGTCATCCTGGAAAAGGCCAAACAGACTGCAGAGTAAGCGACCTGACGACAAGAGAAGACACCGAGGGCACCGAGGCTTCGCGCTTGTGGATGTGTGTGGGTGTGTCCAGGTCTCTGCGTCACAAGACGTTGGCCCGGACTCTGGGCGACCACTACCGCGACCGCCGGAGCCAGAGCAAGAAGCTGCGGCTGGTGCTGCCCGCCCTCAAAGTAAACCCCAGCACACACAGCCAACAAAACAGACAATAATAAGAGGACACGCCACGTCGATCATACCGGGGTGGGTTGGTTGGGTTGGCTCGTTGCTATGTCCGTTCTCTATCCTCGATCAAGGGCCCCTCTACCATGCAAGTCCGGGCTATCATCGACAAGAGACGCAACAAAGAAGACGGCGACGATGACGACGAGGAGGATGCCGACACGGACAGATCACCGACCACCCCCTCCCCCCTCCCCCGCATCGGCCTCAAGGCCAACCCATTCGCCGTGGACATCACGCGGCAGGCTCTCATCGAAGGCGCCCGAGCAGCCAAGGCCCTAGCGGCAGCTCAACCAACGGCCAAGGACGAGAAGGCCGAGCCGCCAGGGCGAGCGCCGCCAGCCATTCTCCGTCCCCCTTCCCCTCCCCTCTCCCCCTCTTCCCCCTCTCCACCGCGGCTGTGCAACATGCCCCCCTCCGCTCTGGACACAGCCGCATCCTCTCAGTCGAATGCGGGCCGGCGTGTGCATCCCAGGTGTCTGGCTGTCAAGAACGAGGTCAAGATAGAGCGCCGGATGACCCGGAACTTGGCCAAGGCTATCAAGGCTGAGAGGGAGGCCCAGGAACACCGGCAGCAGAAGTGGCAGCTGCTGGTGGAAAGCCAGCAGTGGGGGAACGCCAGTGGTGCTGTGCCGTTTGTGTCGTCCTCTGTGCCTGTGACTGAGTGAGTGAATGTGTGAGCTACTGACAGGATGCGGTGCAGTCTGTAAGGCATGCACATTGTGATTGACGACAGCCAGGCGATTGAGCAGGCTGCTGATGCATGTCCATCAAGCGTTTTCGACAAATAGTGATTACCAGCTGGCCATTGGTGTGAGCGAATCTGTTCATTGAAGAACACACGACGCGACGCAGAGGCATCTAGACTTAAAGTTACATGTCAATCTCAGACCTATCATCGTATTCCGTTCACAGCAGGCCAGGCCATACGACCCATGAATGGATAGACACACACAGACCTTCATCCATCTGCTCATCGCCGCACCGGCATGCATCCCCTTTCTCAACCAAAAGCTGTTCATCGGGCATCTCAAGCGTCGAATCCATGAGATGTCGCGCGACATCGAATTGGCATCGCACTGCTCACCACACACCGATCTCACCACGCCACTTTGGAGAGTTTGGTTGAGTTCAAGAAGCGCTTCCACTGTGCTGGCTCGCCCCAGATGTCAGCGGTGAGCGGCCACAGCAGAGGCAAAGCTTTCTCGTCAATGGTGCCGCTCAAATCGATGTACTTGAACCCTGCAGACAGTCAGACAGACAGAAAGACAGACAGACAGACAGACCGAGATATGTATGCAAAGCCTGTCCATGTCTCACCTCCAGCGATCTTGTCCCAGTCTTCAAGCGTCCTGAGGGGTTTCCCGTGGAGCGTCCCACGACGCCAGTCCAGCCCAGTGGCCTCCGCGACTGTCTTGCTGGCCCTGGCCGTGTCGACTGCATCCGCAACCATCTCCGAAAGACTGCGCTTGTAAGTTGAGAAAGGGTCAAGATTCTTGTCCGGCTTCAGGTAGGGAAACAGATATCCGAACACCTTCTCCCTCAGCTTGAGGACGCCGTTCGTGTCCCGCTTGGCGCTCTCGGCTGTGAAGCGCACATTGGCCTGAGCGTCTCCTTCCCCAGTCATGCTTCTGTCGTTGCAATTCGCACTGCCCACATGCGCATATCTGCAAACAAAGACAAAGAGAGAGACGACAGACAGACGGCAATCGAGACGCACCAATCCCCAATTACAGCCATACCTGTCGTCGACGAGGAGCATTTTGCTGTGGACGTATGTGGTATAGGCGACGGTCCCTGCACTGCCAGAAGGCAGGTTGGCCACCCTGCCGTGGAAATAGACTGAGAAGTATTTCTTCAGTGGCTCATGGATGTTGTTCTCGCTCCTATAGCGTTCAAGGCAAGGTACGAGGCCGCATTCGCCGAACAAAGACATGAGCACCGCGTAGAGGGCCATTGTTGGTTGCGGCTGCCGGGTCAGTCATATATATACATAGAAGAGGCGTGCACACGGATCATATTTCCATTGTGTGTGTGTTTTTTTCTTTTTTTGTGGTATGGATGCTGTACTTCATACCCCGATTGGCACGGATAGCACAAAGGAGAAATCCTCATTATCTCTCATGGCATTGGTGACGCGAGCGAAGATGGCGGCCGGCACCTTGTTTTTCGGATGGAACTGAACAGAGAGACAGACAGACGGCAATGGAGACGCACCAATCCCCCAAGTACAGTACCTTGGGGTCTTTGGAGTTTTTAGCGCATCTTATGTAGCTTGTCGGGAGTCCAACGTAAAACTGTGTTTCGAGGTAGACGTAGCGCTCTGCTTCGCGAATCAATCTGTCGTAATCGTCCTGCGCAGACGCAAGACAGGCCCATGAGCATGCTCGACTCTCTTTCTCCCGCTCCCCTCACCATGATGCTGGTGACGGTGACAGATTCAGGCGTTTTCAAAAAATATCTCGTTCCCGAGAGCAGGACTTGGCACGTTCCGTTGAAACCTCTGTGTTTCTGCAGGTGCGGCGTAAAGTCAACGTCCGGCGCGGTATAGTTCCAGGGCGGCATGTATTCTTCCTCGCACATTTCTCCCATGTCTTGCTCAATTCGGCATCGACGACCTTCCGGAAGAAGCCCATCACTCGGCTCCTCCAATTCTTTCTTTGTTCATTGTAGATTTTACACCCTTCTTGCCATCTGCAGAAGCCACAGAAGGGCCAACAAATCGCTTTCTGTCCGACATCAGAGGTCGTCCTTATCGGGTTTGCCTGCCTGTGGACGTGAATGCAGGCAATGTCTTCAGCCGCCTGGTCCGTCACACGACTGTGAACGTCAAGCCCCACAGCACAAAGATCCATCCATACACTCAAAGAGATGGTGGGTAGGTGCCAACCACCACTAGCAGGACCTGTCAATGTCTTGCCAAGGCTTCTGCAGCTCGCCTGCGTGCACATATGCGTGAAGTGCACTGTCTGTCTGTCTGTCTGTCTTTCTTTCTTTCTTTGCTCGATGCTCGCTCACGCTACCTTGCTTGCTTGAAGCGTATCTTGAAGGATTGTTTTGTTGGTGCTGCGGCGAGTCCATGCGCCCCGGGCCGATGTCTATGCCACCGATGAAGGCCACACGGCGGTTGATAATAAGGCTGGACACATGTACATAGATGGGAATAGCTTTGCTGCCCGCTGAAGAAGGCTATATCAACCTTTTCATGTGATTCGAGTTGGCCATCTCTGAAGAGCCCCTCTCTGTGCCAACGTCCAGGAACACTCGCACGCCCATTTTGTCAAGCTCTTTGGCCTGCTGGTTGACATTCCATTTGCTGTGCGTGGCGGCATCAGCTACGAACGTGGCTGAAGAAATACACACTCCCGTCTGTCTCTCTCTGTCTTGTCCGTTCTCTTATCTACCCAGCTCACCCAAGTTCTGCCAGAATGTGACATAGACGTTTGCTTTTCGCTTGATCAGCTTCTCAAACAGCTCCGACAGCGGCGGATTGTCGTCTCTCTCCTGTGCGCCCAAGAGCCTCGTGTGAACGTCCATTTTGTATCCTATCGGTATCAGTCAAACCAGTCATGCCCGCTTTCCGTCGTGTGTCAACACTCACTACCTGTGAAGATGATTTCGCTGCCTTCCGCCAGCTTCGGATCCGTGAGCATCTTGTAGAGCTGTTGTTACACATGTCTTGTTTGTGCAGAGGAGCGAGTCCGTGGTTACCTGTTCGTAGTAGCCAAGATGCCCCTTGTCAAAGGAATTCGAGCACACAATCGGGTGGAAAGTGCACTCTCTCTCAGGGAAGGTGCCGTCCCATTCTGCACCGGCCGTTCCGGCTTGATGGGCATGTACCGCGCCGTCGCTTTGCAATGCGGAAGTGTTGGAGGGACGGATGACGAACTGCAAGGAGAAGGCCGGCGACGAGATGGCGGCGGACAGAAGACAGAGGAGCTTCATTGAGGCAAAGGCCGACCAAAGACGAGGAGGATGGGTGGATGAATGAGACGCCGAATCGGAATCATGGCATGGTGCGTCCCTTACACGAGAAGAGCCCTAAGCCCTGAAGCTCCGGCGGATCCGTCCCGATGGCAGCTCTACGGCCCTTTACTCGCCTTCCACTCCCGTCATCATGCCCGCATCTTCCCTCATCGCATCCCCCCGCTACGTCATTACCCTGCCTTCGAGATGACCGCCGCTATGAGAGGCACTGGGCGCGTCGGAAGAAGATCACGCCCTTCAAGCGCATGCCCAACATCGCCCCTCGTCGCGAGGACTTCCGCGTGGCCCAGGCGGCCGGTGGCTACTTCCACCTGCAGGCGCCCTGGCCGCCGCACATCAACAAGACGTGTGAGCCATTCCCGCCCGCACACAGGAACCGCTTCACCCTCAACCGCAAATACCCTTTGAGGTGGCGCAATGTGGAGTATCTGTATGAGCCGAGGCAGCTGCCCAGGCCGCGGACTGACGGCATATGGGGCGGCGAGATAATCCGGATTGTGCACCCCCCGAAGAAGACCAAGGAAGAGCGGGTCAAGGAGAGGGCGATGAAGACCAGATGAACAAATGAGAGCCTTAGGTGGCGGGCGAAGTGCAGAAGGCGGCATTGCGGCTGTCCTTTTGGGGCGGTGCAGACGTAGATGACAGGAGGGAGGAGGGGGAAGGGAGAGAGGGAGATGGGTGCGGGTTGTATATGGCAACCAAGACTGGACTATGTGTGCCTGATTGAGAGTGATGACTTTTGTGGCTTCGCGAGTGGGACAGCGATGGACGTGACATGAATTTGTCGCACCATTTCGGTTATCGAATGTGTCCCGAGCCATCCATTCACACATTCATTCACACTCTCACATAGTCGCTTTGAGTCACAGGCAGGCAGCACGATTGCAGAGAGCAAACCAACACCCGATGTAAAATGTAGGCAGGGATGACTGAAAGGGCCGTCTCCTGCAAGGCGGGCGTGAGAACCGGAACAGGCGTGAGGCTGCACGCACAAAGCCCATTCACACCACGGGCACAATAATACCTCACACACGATATGCCCACCTGAATGCCGTAGCCACTCACCATGCTTGACAATTGGGTTTGTGCAACAAAAAAAAAATCGATCTGTTCCTCATCGTCTGCATTTGTGCTGTATGTGTCTGTCTGACATGTGTCATGCCTACAAGTGATACGAGCTTTGTGATGCATTGTAGTACTGTGTGCCTGCTTGCAATTCACACACACACACACACACACACACAGACAGAGAGAGAGAGAGAGAGAGAGGTCTGCCTGTCCAGAACTCAGCTGCCGTGGGTCAGCAGTCAATAGGTCAAAGATGCTGAAAACCTGATCCGATATCGATTGTCGCACGCACACAGGCCCTCAGGTGGTGTTTCATGACGTCTCGCCCCCCCTGGGCCGCTCTCTGTTGCTGCAGACAGACAGACAGACAGACAGACAGGCACACGTAGGAACATGTAACTCCCTCACCCACTGCGAGTGTGTATGTCTTTCTGTTTACCTGCGATATCGTAGTGGCCCTTCCTCCTCATCGTCACCAGCCGGGGGACGTGGCACGAGGTTCGGCGAACAGACACCACAAAACAAGAGACAACCACATAACAACACAACAGACAGCACACACACTCGTACTCACCCACAGCCAGCCAGCCAGCCTTTTTCATGTTCAAAGTGGAGTGCGTTTCGTTATGTGTGGGTGTGTGTAATGGTATCAAGACAGATTCAGAAAGTGTGTCTTCCACGCAACGCAGGGCACGTGTGTCGGACAGAGAGAGGGCAAACGAATTGCGGAGCACGGACCCACGGGTATCGATACCGAGATGTCTTCTCTGTAGACAAGAAAAAAAGGAGGACAGCTAGGCATTAGATGGCCCTATCTGTATGTCAAATGGCCATCAATCAAAGGATAGCACATTATATATCCACTGAGAGCACAAATGAATGTCAAGCATGACTGACCAGTGATGAACAGCCTCCCATGTCCCGACCAGACAGACCATGCACGATGAACACGGACACAGACGCAAACACAAACACAAAGACAGAGATAGAGTATTCTACACCTGTCTTGTGTTTGTGTTTTCTTCCTCGATGCCTCACATACCCTGTCGCTTGGGTCCTTGAGTCTGCGGTATCTGGACGGGCCCTGCTCTTCGTCCATGTCGTCGTCCATTTCCATCCTCAGAGGATGCGCAGGGGCGGCGGAGCACGCCGAGGGAGGGGATGGTCCGCGCTCTGCGGCTGAGTAGGTGAGGGGGCCACAGAGGCCCGGGGCGGGGTCGCTGCATTCAGCGCAAGAGTTGCATCAAGGTGGCAGCTGCGCGGCCCGGCCGGGCCGTCTTGGTCATGGTGTCATTGCAGGCAGTTGTGCGCAGAAAAAATGCTTCGGCGCGAGAAGGTGGTTGGCCTTCTCACTACAAGCGGTACATTGCCAGAAAACTGACCGAGGGGGGTGGGAAACTGTGTTCTGTGCGGAAAACCGGGGCCCCATGCGGAAAACTGAGCCAGGGGCCCGGAAAACTGGTGATCTGCAGTGGAAAACTGACCACCTGCTTGGAAAACTGGCACTCCCATGTGGAAAACTGAGGCCCTGAGTGGAAAACTGGCCACCTGCACTGGAAAACTGGTGATCTGCAGTGGAAAACTGGTACTCCCACGTGGAAAACTGGTTTTCTGCCGCCTGTACCCAGTTTTCCATTGCCTGATGCCAGTTTTCCACTGTCTCTACCCAGTTTTCCAGTCTCTCTACCCAGTTTTCCATT